CCCAGACCCCCCAAAAGGGACCCCAAAACTCCCCAAAAGGGACCCCAGACCCCCCAAAAGGGACCCCAGACCCCCCTGGGGACCTCAAAACTCCCTCTGGGGACCTCAAAACTCCCCAAAAGGGACCCCAGACCCCCCAAAAGGGACCCCAGACCCCCCTGGGGACCTCAAAACTCCCCAAAAGGGACCCCAGACCCCCCTGGGGACCCCAGCCCCCCCCATGTCCCCATCACTCACAGCTGGCGGGAGTAGAGCCCCTCATCGATCTCGGCCTCGGCCCCGTTCTTCGCCATTCCCTGGGGACAGCGGTGTCACCACGGGGACAGCGGTGTCACCACGGGGACATTGGTGTCACCACGGGGACAGCTGTGTCACCATGGTGTCCCCGAGGGGACACTGGGGGACCAATGCCACCCCCCAGGACAAAGAGGGACCCCGCAAGGGACAGGAGATGACCCCAAGGAGGCCGAAGGGACATCGAGGGACACGTGCCACCCCCAAAACCCACAGGTGGCACCCAGGAGGTGACACTACCCAGTGCTGAGGGGACACTGGGGACCTGGGGGACAAATGCCACCCCACAAGGGACAGGAGATGACCCTGAGCAGGCCGAAGGGACACTGAGGGACAAGTGCCACCCCCTAAGTGACATCGAGGGACACATGCCACCAACCAGGTGACACCAAGGGACACATGCCACCCCCCAGGTGACACCAAGACACACGTGCCACCCCCCAGGTGACACTGAGGGACATGTACCACCCCCCAAGTGACACCAAGGGACACGTGCCACCCCCCAGGTGACACCGAGGAAGGTGCAGGTGACGCTGTATCCCCAGCAGAGGTGACAATGACACCAGGTGTCCCTGAAGGTGTCCCCAGGGGGGTGGTGGCACTCACGTTGGCGGGGGTGACGCTTGGGGACACGGCGGGGGCAGGGGCGCGGCTGGAGCCCGACGGTGGCTCTGACCCAGAGACGCGGCGCTTCTTGGACAGCGGGGAGCTGGACATCTGGGGACATCAGGGGACATCAGGGGACAGCTGGGGACATCAGGGGACATCAGGGGACATCTGGGGACATCAGGGGACATCAGGGGACATCAGGGGACATCAGGGGACACATGGGGACAGCTGGGGACAGCGGGGAGCTGGACATCTGGGGACAGGGACAGAGTTACCGGACAGCTGGGGACAGGGACACATCAGGGGGACACACAGGGACATCTGGGGACAAGGACGGGGTCAGGGGACAGCTGGGGACAGAGAGAACAGCTGGACATTTGGGGACAGCAACAGTAATGGACTGGACATTTAGGGACACAAAACAGTCCTGGTGACACAGGGACAGCAATGGGGACAGGGATGGGGACAGGGATGGGGACAGGGATGGGGACAGAGAGGGGGACACACTGGGAGAGACACAGGGACAAGAGGGGACATCTGTGGTGACGTGAGGTCACCAACAGCATTGGGTGACACGCAGGGTGGCACTGACAGGGACACAGGGGGTGACAAGAGGTGACACCAGGGCCAGGGAGTGATGCTGCAGGTGACACCAGGTGACACCAAGTGACACCAGGTGACACCAGGGACGCACGGGGTGACAAGAGGTGACACTAGGGACAGTGGGTGACACTGCAGGTGACACCAGGTGACACCACAGACAAGAGATGATACTGCAGGTGACACCAGGTGACACCAAGCACGGTGGGTGACACTGCAGGTGACACCAGGGACAGGGGGTGACACTGCAGGGTGACACCAGGTGACACCGAGCGCAGCAGGTGACGCTGCAGGGTGACACCAGGTGACAGCGGGGACACCGAGGGTGGCACCAGGTGAATCAGGTCACGGGCGGGGCCACCAGGTGCGACACCCCCCGCGCCGCTCCTGTCACCGCCCCAGCGACACCGGGGACGGACACAGCGACACAAAAGGGATGGAGGGCGGCGGGGGAGAGGGGACAGGGACACTTGGGGACACTTGGGGACACTTGGGGACAGCGCGGGTGGCACCGAGGGAC